AATTATAATTTGCAGAATTTCAATTTTCCATGAGTTTTATAAAACTATTTTTCTCTTATTTCAATCTCTGTATAAAAAATAAAATCTGTTTCAAAGTAGATTTTTAAATTTGTATTTCATAAATCAAATGTTTGTAATTTTTTAAGGAATTTTTAGTAATGGCATGTAGTTTGCCAATATAACACATCAAAATTACCATATTAAACTAGAAAGTTAGACTGTATATTTTTTTTAATAACTTGTTGCATAAGTTTAACTGTGCTGTTTAGATAAAAATCAGACATATCTGCTCATTGTTGCATGTAGTACTGTAGAATTATATTTTTGTATTAGATTCTGTAAAATAAGGTAATATAAGTTACTGCAGTCAATCTGGTAAGAATTTATAAAGGTTATTTGAAACAAGTTTTATGCCTTTTATCTGTTATCTTTGTAAATTAAACAATGTTTTAATAAAAATAAATTTTTAAAAATGATTAACTCTAATGTTGTGTACTATACATATTTTACATGCACTTATTCAAGTGTGTTTTATAAATTATTCCTAGTAACATATGTGTTAATGAAATGTACAGAGTATTATAATTTTTCATTATTTTTTCCCGAGTCACTTCTTTACGTATGTAAATAGATAAAAAACTGATATAAACTTTAGTTAGGATTTGAAATTACAAAATTTTAGTTATTATTACATAAAGGTAAAATGAATTGAAGTGTCATAACTTATGTTCAAATTATATACATTACAAAAGATTTAATACAGTAAAAAATGTAATGTTTAATAAGATTTAAACTTTATTTAGAACTTAATACAAATTTCAGTACAGTTGGTAAAATTCTATTGCATTCCAATTTTCAGAAATTAAGAAAAAAAACAACATTTGTGTAATTATCCATTGTGTTGTTTTTACTTTTTAATAATGTATGACTTACAAATATGTGTTTAGATGTTTGCTCGAATTTGTATGAATGGAATTAATTCTAAAATATCAATTTCATTCCCCGTACTAAGGAACATTAGAAACTATCCTCCTATGATGTCCAAGTTTGATCTTCCTGATATTTTGAAAGGCAATGAAAAGTCTGTATGGTAAGTAATTATATTAACATTTATATAGAATAAGTAGTAAAGTTAAATTTGCTTTAGGGTTGAATACATTCAACTTGCTTTAAAATATAAACCATTGAATTTGGGACAAGGATTTCCGGATTTTCATGCCCCTGAAAGTGTAACAAAGGCTTTAAGTGATACAGCTATAAGTGAAAATCCTCTTTTAAATCAATATACTAGAGGATTTGTAAGTATTTTGGGCACATAGAGAATGATAAATATTTATATATTGTATAATGCAATTATTACCTATTTGTTTGTTATTTCATTTTATAAAGATTAAAATTACCATAGGGTCATCCTCGTTTAGTAAATGCAATTGCCAAATTATATTCAAAGCTCTTGAATCGTGATTTAGATCCAAATAATGAAGTTATTGTTACTGTGGGTGCGTATGAAGCTTTGTATTGTACAATTAAGAGCCATACAAATCCTGGCGATGAGTGGATAATTATCGAACCCTTTTTTGATTGCTACATGCCTATGGTGAAAAGTGCTGGTGGAGTACCTAGGTTCATTGCGTTAAAACCAGTAGGTTTTATATTATGAAAACATATATTTTACACAATCATAGGCTTTTTTTATGATATATACATGAGACATTGATTGTTGTTTAAGATAAATACAAATGGTCCTTTAAGTTCAGCAGACTGGGTATTTGACGAACAAGAATTAGAAAATCTGTTTAATGAGAAAACTAAAGGAATAATTATTAACACTCCACATAATCCTGTCGGAAAAGTTTTTACATTAGATGAATTACAGTTTATTGCTAATTTAGCTAAGAAATGGAATACACTTGTTATATCGGATGAAGTTTATGAATGGATTGTGTATGAACCATACAAACACATTAGGATCGGTGAGTAGGTTGTAAAGTATTGGAATAATATCCTTAGAATATTTTAATTAAATATTGAATACATTTTAGCAACATTACCTGACATGTATGAACGTACAATTACCATTGGTTCTGCTGGTAAAACATTCAGTGTGACTGGATGGAAAATAGGATGGGCCTATGGTCCAGCTAATTTGTTGCGAAATTTACAAATTGTTCACCAAAATGCTGTATATACCTGTTGCACACCTATTCAAGTAACTGTTGAATGCATAAAATAAAAAGTCAAATTCATTACATTAGCTTTATTTAGTGTTACATATTTTTAATATTGTAGGAAGCAGTGGCTATTGGATTTGAGCAAGAATTAGCAAGATTTGGTCAACCAGATTGTTACTTTGTGAGCTTAGCAAAAGAGCTGGAACCTAAACGGGATTACATGGCTAAATTTCTTACTGATGTGGGAATGGTGCCGACAGTTCCTGAAGGTGGTTACTTTATGGTAGCAAATTGGTCTGCTTTGGAAAATAAGGTTAAATTAGAGGAAGAAACAGATGAAAATAAAGATTATCGATTCACAAAGTGGATGACAAAAAACGTTGGAGTTCAAGGAATTCCTCCTTCCGCATTTTATAGCGATGAACATAAACACCTGGGGGAAGATACTGTTCGGTATTGTTTTATAAAGGTAACACTAAATTTAATATGCATATCAATAATACATCAATAATCTTTGTATACAAATAGTGGACTTTTATTTCTTGCAGAAAGATGAGAATTTAAAGAAAGCAGCTGAAATTTTGATGAAGTGGAAACAATAGTAGTTATCAAAAACGTTATATTTCATATTTTTACTACGAAAGTCCTTATTATTTAGCAATCACTGTTATATTTAAATATTCTACAGTTTATAAAATTGTAGGCACTGTGCAACGAAATTGTATACTTTATACGGAGAAATCTCCGCGTAACCACTTCTTTGCATCCTTAGTATCAGCTCCAAAAGTTTTACCAAATCTGTATAAAATAAATAAAAATTTATACTTTTTAAGGCTATAAAGTGGAATTAACTTACCTAAATGTTTCTCCCGGGACATGGCCAAGGTAATTTGGTATCATGCCAACGTGTTTGTGGTAAATCGCGGTTGGTTGAATTACGAGTGGTGGATCAGGTCGTGAAATTGTTACCGGTGCCCATTCTGTACTTTGACGTTTTCGATAATTAGACGTGAATTCAGTTAACGCGCTGTTGGTGGCAGGAACATTTGATACACCAAAGTGTGCATATCCGTAGGGTATATGACCCGCGTATCCTAAACATATGGACTATGAATATTATTATCCTGCACTACGTTATACAGTTAAAGTTCACATATTATATGGTGTATAGAACTGTGTTTATGTTGCGTTTAGAAGCTAATTTTAATAATCTACTCAAGTATTGATATTCACTTCTAACATTTTCACTAATGAAAGAATATCGCATTCGTTGTTCACTGTGTGTAAGATCCATTTATACTATTATTTATTATTGGTATACATTCAGAGAGTAGTTTATACTTGTAACATCAGATCTATTGAATTCATTATTTCAATTAAAATAAAAACATTAGGGGTTAAATGCTTAACAAACAGTTGAATCTTAAAGACAGTTGCAACAAACATTGCGTAGTTATTTAAAGACAAATTCAAGGTAATAACAACAGTGGAAACTCACGACTAATAAAATATTTCTTTGGATTTGAATTCTCCATGAAATAAGGAGATGGCGAATGATCTCTAGGTGGTTCATGTTGTTCATCCAGAAATAAGTTTCTCATTACGCCCACACAATCGGGTCGAACAGACAGTATAGGTAATTTGAATTGACTTTTAATAAGCTATATTAAATGTTACAGAAAAGATTGTTAACTATGTGGAATTTTAGTTTGATAGTGAGAAGATTGCTCATAAAAATCATGTATTAGTAACGGTAATAAAAAGTTCAAGCATTAAAAATAATAAAAGAGAAATTTCTATTGATTTTAATAAGATTATTATATTACTTATATTATGATAATTTAAAGTTTTTACCAGACGATCTTCTAAATTTCGTGGTTCACCGAGGCCACTTTGTAAAGCTACCGTCGTTTTTAGTTCATTAAGGGCAGCTTTATTTTTCAGTTGTTGTCGTTCAAACTCTGCCAGTCCTTCCGTGGCAAGTATAGTATATCTTTGTCCATTCCTAGCATTTAATCTTGGTGTAAAGCCTAAAATAAAAGGTTCGTTTCTGCTTTAAAAATGTTAACTACATGTTCCTTTTTGATACCTTCGTAGCCTGGCATGAGGGGATGAACGAATATAGGATCAGTTCTTTTGTATCGAGAATTTACAATGTCTATGTCATTTTTTGACGGTCTTTGAACCTATTATTTTAAGAGTCAATGATTTTTAATATATAGTAGCAGTTGGTGTAATGAATAAGTTAAATTATAGTTCTAGTTGTAGGGATTATTTAAAAGGAATTTGATAATTACTTCGTAATCATCGGTGGCTCGATTTGATAAGATCAGTGTCTCTGCATGATTTACTGTGGGATCAAGAAGCAATTTATGTGTAATACTACCATAAGTTTCACCGCACCTGTAGCGGTATTGAGGACAGTATCCAGCATATCTAAAATAAATTATTAATTTTACTGTTAAAAAATCGTACATAAGAGGATAAAACTATAATTTATTACACGAACGTTTATCTTAATCTATGAAATAAGAAGATGTATTTCTCTTTTTTGAAAAATATATTAAAAATAATTTATGAAACAAAGTCAAATATAATTTTTTATATAATATCTATATACTTTTAGCCAGTTGCAAATTTTCAAAGTATTATATAAAATCCAAAATATATTTAATTTTTTAAAAGCACAATATATTTATTAATATAAATATATAAAGGGTATTCTTTCATAATGCACCTCCCGCAGATTGACATGAAATTCTGAGGTATGGAGGAAATGGAAAAAGGATCTCAAATATACAATTTTACCTTCTGATATTTAATTTTATTTATTTACAACGATTCCTACAACGAAGATTAGCTATAACGTTCATTATTCAAAATTTCATGTTGATCGAATAAATATTATTCATTTAATTTATATTTCATTATAAATATCATATTTACCCGGGTATGAGGTGCGGTTCCACGGTAGATAGTAATTCCGTTCCAGCAGACATTGTAATTTTTCAAAAGATATTCTAATGTGACTGAATAATTAATTTTAACGGAAATTTATTGTTATCATTTATACGGAATTTTCATGTTTACATTAATTTAACCTCATGTCGCTAAGAAGTCTGCTACATTTCTACATTATGGCACGCGAAGTTTACTTCAGAATTCTATTCAGTACTTTATAAAAATTAATTGAAACAAATAGGTATTTATCTAAGTACTTATTTATACATTTAGCTATTGTTCAATAAAATATTTCTTGAGAAATTTATTAAAAGTAAAATTCAAATTTTCATTTTAAAATATTCAAATGAAATTCTTCATCTTTCGAAACTTCTGCTTTATTATACACGATTTGTTAAAATAAATATTTCTTCAATTTTGGCTTCCATCTATTATTGTTCAAAAACATTTATTAAATTTTATTATTGAAAAATTGTATACAAATACACAAAGTAAATAGTATTATGTTATGACTGAAAAATGGATTCGGTATATGTAACTTTAAGAAAAACTGCTTGTATAAACGTTTACAAGTAATAAAAAACAAACATAAATGAAACTGTTGATTTTTATGGATAAGTATTATTTATCGAATTTTTAATTTTTAAATCATTTATTTTCTATATTAAAATAACTTAATCCATTAACAATTTAGCTGTAAGAGTTTAATTTCAATAATTATATATAAATTTCTTACTTACACAAAAATCTATGGAATATAAGTGTCAGTAAATACTATACATTTTATAACAGTTCCCTCAAAGCAAAAAACAATACTCACAGAACTACTTTTATTTCATACCAAATTGAAAATGTTAATAGTTTCATTCGAATCCTGCACAAAGTATAAATATTTTTAACTCCATATTCTCACTGCGCCACTTTTTTACTTTTCATTCCTTGTAAACTAAAAAATCAAAGAGTTTTTCTTTAATTTTGATCTACGCTTCCCATAGACTCGGGCGTCCCCACGCTAACGAAAGAGGGTGACTGAGAATCAGTACTCTTACTTTTAATTGCCGTTGCACTTGCAGCCAGGATTAATTGCGGACAGGCTCGATGCGGCTTTATTTCACCGTGACTTTCAACGGATAACGAATTAAGGGAGCTGCTAATTGACCGCCAGGAGGGCCATCGTACTCAAGAGGCGAGGAATGAATTGATGTTGGTTGTCGAAGGGAGGGAGGAACACGTTGCGTATACAAATGAGAGAGGTGTGCGATCAACGTTTCGCTTTCCAGTTTTCATGGGGCCACCGTGGCGAAAACAACTTATTTACAAATGTCACTTTCGAGACCATCGCAAAAGAACAGGCGACAATTTCGAAGGAAAAGAGAAAGATAACATGTCGCCTTGAATTCGTTCTACCCTGTGCATGCGTTTACAAGTGTACTCGTCGGCTTAAACGTTCATGAATGAGCTGTTCGATCATATACATATACGTGACACGAAACACTTCGGAGTCGATGGAATCCCGGAGATAATGATATCTTTGTAATTTTTCATCTGCCCGAGATAATGCTTGCAGTCTGGTATCGGTGAAGTAACGGAAAACAACTGGAATTCGATTTTCCTCGTGAGACGTCGTATTCGCGGGTTTTAGCGAAACAGATATGTGGTTTCGCCGGGAAATGAACTCCGTGTTCTATGTAGAAGCTGACGTCAGACCTACACATTTCGTGGAGAATGACAAGGTGAGTGGCAAATGTGATTCTGATTTTCTTTGTTTTTGTTCTTTACTCTTAATTGCTAGATGGCGGTCATTGTGTTTTGTGCAAGCTAAGGACACGAACAAAATGTAGTAAAACAGAAACATTAATGAAGTATGATTAAATTTTTTTATAATTAAAGTGCAATAATTCTTGTTTTATACAAGCTGTCGACATTATGTTCATTTGAAGAACGAATATCATTCAGGTAGACACAGTTTTCAGTTTCTCAAAAAATGAATACAAATTTTAATAATAAATAATATCGAAATAGTATTCAAATACGTACATTATTGTTAGTTGTTTCATCTGCAATGTTATTAAAATAATTAAATTACTTACCTATTTTTATTTTGGAGTATAATAATAGTAGGAAGAAATGATTAGTTTTGTGTAGAAACGAATATTATTATAAAAACAATACATTTTAATTCACTTTGGGATAAACATTAAGTTTTATGAAAAATAGTAGATTATTTAAAAATATTTCTTATCCTTGACAATTTATGTTAAACAAATAAAATATTTAATTAATTTCCTCTTTCGTATAGAAATCTTAAGTGTGAACCTGTATAAATATCCGCGATCTAGTTAGATAAACGCTTTGATTTTGATTAATTCCTTTTTTGATGCACACCTTTAAATGATCCCGCAAATAAAGCTAGTGTCATCATTGTCTGACTTTATCTATTGATTAAATTTATACATAAAGTAGCCGATTAACTGCAAACACAGTATTTCCATTAAGACAATAGAAAATATACTATTAGGTAGTCTCAAAAGTTTTTCTTCATTTCATTTGTACATAATGGGTGTACAATATTTTATATTTTATGTTATGTTATTAAATTATACATTATCCAGTTTGATCTGTTATCTTCTTTCATTTTTCCGGAAGTTTTGTAATACTATCTTTTCATCATTTCTGGCAAACTAAACATTATAGAGAGAGGAAGAAAGCAAAAGAAACGTATAGGACATCCTAATATTAGAAGCTTAAATTGCAGCATGTACCATTCAGTGTCATAACAAGACAATGTGGCAGAAAAGTGAAACTTATAAGCGGTAACATTTAACTCTTCGTGTTCTTCGACAGTGAAACGGAAAAACTGATCAGAAACCGTAAAATTACCCGTATGTATACCATACAACGTTTTACGCTGCGTTTAACCGTCAACGAAAATTGATATGCAAAATACATCTAGTTCTCACTTTTGTAGTATCTACGCATTCAATCGTATACGGGTTAAGTTATTTAAGAGATTTTTAATAAAAATATTGATTTTACGTAAATGGATATACGTATGAACAAAATATTTCTACGTATCTTTGTTCATACGCATAATATAATGAACAATATCACAAATTTCTTTACGTTCTCGTAAGTTATTATTAGAAAATAATAAAAAAATAGTTATTACTAATAAAACAATAAATAATAAAAAGTTATTACCATAAAGCACAGTCGTGAAGAAAATTGTAAGGGAAGGAGTTAAAGTTGTTCGATCATTAATACGTTACCGATGAAACGAAGCATACTAAATTGCAAGTGGCTTCTAATCTTATCTTAAGGGTTGCAGTTAGGGGTTGGCGGCCCAGGTGTACGAGAGGTAAATCAAACCCGTTACATCCGGTTCGTGTACCTACGTCGGTATGTACCTACACGCGCCGCGCGGTAAAGGAATAATAATTTTCTCCTCTTCCCTCGATGTTTTGTTTTGTGTCCCTGCGGCTGGCGCGACTAGACCGGAAGCTTTATTATCGCGCAGCTCGTTGTAAGCTGTGGGTGGACGTATAACTTAACCATGGGCAAAGATATGCGCGGTACAAACTCTACGTTTGAGATTCATTCGACCAATTGCGGACAAAAGTCACCGCTCCTCGTTGTAATAGTCATATAAAGGGTGGCCTGGATATACAGATTAATCATTTTTGTCTTCCGGCTACAATGTCACTTGGTTCTCATACTGTTTGTAATTAGGAAATTACTAGTTGCCTTAGAAACGATTTGATTATTTTTCAGTCTTGTTTTCAATCGTTTGCCTCCAATTATTTATTTTCAATTATTTGTCTGCATTTCCTTTTACTTTTTCTTTTCATAATGTTCACAAAAATTTAACATTTTTTCTATTTCACTTTCATTAAACACAAATTTATTATTTTCAGCTTTACCAAACTTGTTTTATTCGTTGAACATTTTATTTAGAACAGCACTAATTCTAATAAAATATGCGCAGTAAACCAATGGTATGTCTTAAACTAAAATAAATTAATAAAACAACAAAGTTATTTTTAGATATCTAAATATGGTGCAATATGGAATAGGATTATAAAATTGTTTACAATCCCCAACCTTATTCTTATCGCCGAGCTTCGTCAACAGTCGTAAATCATAACAAATGCACGAAGTTTCGCAGTCTAATTGCATTGGCTATGCAAACGCACTTCATTCTCTTTTTCTCTAACGCATAACATTGCAATTAAAGCGTCGTTAGGTACGAAATAATTATTAACGAGCGAATGAAACGATTTATAGTCAACCATTTCTGTATAGCGTTTTGTTATTGCATTCTGTGACCAAGCATGACTTATAAGCATAATTTAAAACGAATTTCTTACAAAAACATTCTTCCATTCCTTTGCCTTAAATGTATATTTGATTCGAATAATATTGCTCCTCACATTTTTAAAGTTTCTTATTACCTTTTACAAAATTCATAAAAACAGTTAATTGATGAAATTAAAGAATATTTCACCCATTATTATAATTCTTCTATGTTTGTATAAAATGTACATAATTAGTTGAAATAATTATTGAACATGTATTTAAAATATCGCGAACTTTACTTAAACGAACTTTAAATTTCATAATTTATTTAAATAAACTATAATACTCCATAATTTATTAATTTATTTACATAAACTATAATAATTTATAGCTTAATCATTTATTTAAGTAAACTATGAAAACAAATTTCGTTAATTAAAAAGATTATTAAGTTCATTAAAATGTACTTATAAAACGATTGATTAACTGTCAAGTGAAGTAACCATCGTTAAATAAACCCGCCGGCGTGAAAGTTCGTGCCTTGCCGTAATTCTTTTCTGTAAAGAGATTATTTCTTCCCCGTGAACAGTTCAAACGGCTACCGTGGTAGGTTGGTGTAGACTGCCAATCATGCTCATTCACGTGATCACATGGGGTGTCAGTGATCGATCGTGGATCCCTTCCGTGGTTTTCGATGCGTCGTTTATCCGTGCATGTCTCAATTTCGAAGATAAACAAATAA